GGGGCTAAGGATTGGAATAAGATGTTAAGAGTTAAAACCTTTCGAATCAAAAGAAAAAAAATATCCAAAAGCTGTCGCATAATGTGTGGGCTTATATTATTAGAACCGGTTTGGGGACAGTATTTATCAAACGTCGTGACAATATTATTCTTTTGTGGCAGATAAAGCGCTTTCAGAAAACTTTTTGTTGTATTTTTGTTTAGAAAATTGTCGCACATTGTAATATAAAGTCTTAGAGGAATCTGTCTCGATCTGGTGCAGAACATGGATGGCACGTCGACAAGTGTGCTCGGTGTTTATTACAAGTTGTGCTTCGTGTCAAATAACGAATGTTAAAGAAAATACAGTGGAGTAAATTAATGAAAACACTTCAATTTTGTTCACTCTGGTTGTTTTTTCCGATACTGGGTCTTTAAAAAGTTTCTTGAAGCTCGCCCCTTTTTTTGAGTTTCTTTTTGTGGAGGTTTGCTTATATTTGAGTTAAGATATGTGCATCGACACAATAATGGTCCTTTAGTGTTTGGAAAAGGTAAAACAGACAGACAAAAACGAAAAGAAGGAAAGTAAAGAAGAAGTTCCTACCATTAGCACCCTCCAACCACCTGCTTTTTGGGAGGGCGTCCGACAGACAAGATCTCATTTCACATGGTCCTTTGAGAAGCACAATTTGACATTCTCATCTCAAGGAGCGGCTGCTTTCAGACTGACCAGTTCAACAAAAGTCTTAGAGCTGTATACAAATATCAGTCAGGTCGTTTTCTGACCCGAGTTGAGTTACAGTCTGTCTGCGGGCGTGACCTCCCCTTATATTGTGAGGATAATACAAGAGGACTTTTTTGGACTTTAGTCTCTAGGCTCCCCCCTCCTCCCCTCTTAATCCCGTCAGATTGCCTCACATCAAATTATACGTGTTGTGTGCTCGTGGGTAAAAGAAGAATATCAATTATTCAAAAGAGTTGAGAGATGCCTTTACGATGCTTCTTGGCTTTGTAACTGCAAAGGAAACAGGACACATCCAAATGAGGTGCTAAAAGGAAATGTCAGACACGACTCAGAACCCAAGAATTATATCCATAAAAGGTATTGGACATGCAGAGTCTTTGCTTTTATTACAATAGTAGCGGCTGCTATTCACCAGAGCGCCTTTTCATGTAATATTCATTATTTTCATATTTCCTATTGCATCCCATTCTTCACAAAATCCCCCTCCTCCTCCTTTTTCTATGGCTTCTATTTCCTCCCTGTTCACTCTTTTCACCCACGTTTTGCATGGTGCACCCCGGATTGGTGATAAATCTGGCCTGTCAGCCTGACACAGGCTATTCACAGTCGCTCTCACAGAGGGCGCCCACAGCAGTCGGGCATGTCCACAGCGGGCGGGGGCCGGCACACACCCGTTTTGGAGTGCTCCCAACCCAGGGTGAAAAGAAAATATGCTCTCACAAGACGGATGTTAGTTCGCGAGAAAATAATGCACCATTATTCTGTAGATAAAATATGTGAATGGAGGGACTATGGTGAGGCAATGGAGGGATGACAAGCGTGCAATAGAGTTGAATTGGAGTATGAAATTAGGTAACAGCTCGGCATTCAAGTTACCGTATAAATGGAAAAGGAATGGGTCAAAGCAAAAAAGTGATACCACTACCGTTCGTTGGAAGGACATTTCTGATACGAAACAAAACCTCCCGTACTAAAAAACAAATGTTTGCCGAGACAGCTTAGCAATGCATGTACGTAATGAATCCATAAAAAATTACACATAAAAAAAGATTAATTATACTAATTAAATCCGCATCATCCAGCAGACTCGAACAAACTCCCGCGGCCAAATCCAATGACAACGAAAGAGTAATTGGAGAGAGAGAGAGAGAGAGAGAGAGAGAGAGAGAGAGAGAGAGAGAGAGAGAAAGAGAGAGAGAGATTGCCCAGAGAGACAAAAATGAGATGTAGGCCTACTTTTCTTATGCTATCTCCTTGAAGCCAAATTTTGCCGGCAGCCGTTCGCTCCTGCTGAATAATTTCTTCTGAAGGACAAGCACAATTTATTAAAAAATCAACGACAAAGCAGCTATATACAAGATTTATACAAACATATATTTATATTGAACAAGAGCAGCCACATAGCGACAAAAATTAAAGCCCAAACCACAAGTTTCATAAATTATAAATAAATGCAATCTTTATGTACGCACAACATGCACTGACCCACATGACATGCTGTTCAAAACATCAGCTCAATAGAGTAACCGCTTGAACGCTTCAGAGAGCTAGGCATTAACATAAGCCTACACGTCAGAGATTTAATAACTTTAGGACATTCAAAATTCTGGGGCACTTTTAGGCACTTTGAAAAGCTCACTAAAATGTATGCACACGAAAAGAAATCCACACCAGCTTCTAAAGTGTAATAGAAATATCCTTCACCTCGCGCGTAAAAGATTCGAGTTCGACCCACGCCCGAAAGTTCATTTCAGCGAGTATATCCGTCATTCTCGTAGGGGGCCGTGTTGCACTCAGCCCCAATAGAAGCAGCCCGCCTCAAATTGCCTTTTTTGTAGGGATGTAACTAACGAATCATTCACAATCGGATACCGCACACATACATATCGTGTACACAGGTTTAACACAAAACACTTCTTACAGTAGGCATACGTACATGTTAACCACCCAATAACGATACAATACAATGTACATTTTTCGATTATATCTCTCCCTTTTAGCCACCCCCCCCTTCCTCCTTCCTGAAAAAAATCTACCAGAAGCAAACAAGCAAATGATAACAATTATAAAGAAGTAAAAACTCTGAGACAGAATAGAAAATAAACCACTCATATCTCACAGAGAAACGATCTCCTACATTGCTCACACCACCACCACCAAGAAATTTTCTGCCAGAAATGAGACAAGTGACGGCTAAGTTTGTGTCTCTCCGATGAATCTGAGTCCCCGAGTGAGTGGGAGGCACGCACGTGCGTTATTGGACCGTCAACAGGCTCTATCAGTAGCCACACACGCTGGGTCAGCTGTCAAGCACGTGACACTGAGGGGAATGACAAGGTACTAAGTCGAGCGCACATTGGTTTGGTCTTTTCACTCCCACACTCTTCCCTCTCTCACAACTTTTTCTTCAGACTCTTTCCCTTCTCCATCAGTCTCTTCTCTATCCCCGCTCTTTAAGACCATTATAGCACAGTATTTCACTTCTCTTCAGTTTCCCGTCTCTCATTTAGGAGTGCAAAAAAGTAAAATAAAAAACCCCATCTTATCTGTTAAAAATATTTGGCTATCTTCCCCTCTTACCTATATTTAAAATTAATCTCCAGCTTTCAATCACCCTTCGTCCCCTCCTCCTCCTCAACTTCCTCCTCCTCCTCTCCCCCTCTCTTTCTTTCTCTGTCTCTGGCTCTCTCTGTCTCTACCCCCCCTCCTCTCTCTCTCTCTCACTCACGTTTACATACAAATATGCACACACACAAACACACACACACACACACACACACAAACTTATTGCGAGGGTCATGGGCCTACCAGCGAACAAAACTTCAATTGGTTACAAGTTTTGGTAAACAACTCACGTAAATATTTTGACAGAAAGAGTGTAGTAAAACAATTAGTGGTGCGTAACCCGCAAACAGAAGCAGGACAGAGAGGACAACTCATTTATTGCTTTCGCTGAAATTATCCCAAGCCTGCCCAGGGGGGCTGGTCTGCAACGTTACCGGCGACCAGGAAAAACAATCACCTCCCGTTATCACT